GCATCCGGCGAACAGCAGATAGGATAGGATGTCTTTGCTCGGCTTGTGCGGTCGACGGCCTGGAGAGATGCACGAAGTAGTGCTACGTAATGTCGTGTCTCGGCAATGACCCAGAAGCAGGTGGCCCACATGGATGACACTGTGATGGTCCGCGAGAAGCAGCGCGCCATGCGTACGCATGTTTCAAAGATGTCGGCTTTGTTCCATGATGCTGACACCTCCGGCGACGGACGGCTGGACATTGAAGAGTGCCTTGAAGCAACCAGGTTGTAACGTTGAGCTTCCATCCGCTTCAAGCGCGTGCCCTTCGTGAAGGTTCAAGACTATTTTGCAGCACTACGAAGTGAAGATTTGGCTGGCAGCTATGGATTTGGATGTCAGCGATGTTGAGGCCCAGTCTTTCTTTTGTAGGTTAGTGCTTTCAAGTGAATGAGTTTCTAGTGCAGGAGCTTTTTGATATGCTGGACACTGGTGGTGACGGCCGACTTTCCGCCGAGGTCGCTTCGGCCTAGAGTTGCGATGAGGAAGCCAATCCGAAGCTAGGGATTGAGTTCCCCAGTACTCTTGCAGTAAACAGGCATCTGTGACTAAGCGTTTCAAGCCCCCTTACTTTCAGAGACGTGTCAGCAACCAGATGCACGCTGCCGGAGCCAACGGTGTGAACATGTCACCATGCAAAAGTGCACTCTTCAGTTCCCAACGACAAGTTTTGCAGGCCCTGTTCAGAGAATCTAGCCAACAGCCCTTCCCACGCACCAGTTTCGCTTGACACACCACATTGCCCGAACGGACCTCATTAGCTTTTCAGGGAAGGAGTGCCTAAGGAAAATTCCGCTGATCGGACTGGGGTCCTGTAGCTTGTCGGGATTGACGGAGGTCCTCGTGAACCTGAAAACACCCCCTCTACCAATCGCCTGACAGAAGATCGCCTTTGGAAGCAAGCAGTGAGGCCAGAAGCCGCCCGGAAAGCCAGAAGCCTTATCAAAGCCTGACAAAGGAGCTGGTGAATGGTGTGTCGCGGCTTCGGGGGGCTGCTCGGGCGATGGCTGCATGGCCACATGCAGAGCAGAGGGGTCATGGTTAATGCGCTTAGTCGGGGGGTTGTGCTTCATATGCCCGAGGCTCCAGATCAGGCGCTTGAGGCCTAGGATGGATCGCCATGGCGACTTCGTCAGCGAGCGTATCCGCAGCGCAAACAAATCTGATTCGAAGTGCATCGAAACCACCAGGCTTGTGAAGAGGGGCTTCGAGGTGCGGAGCAACTGGATTGGGGTTGAGAAGTCGTTATTGTGTTTCAGTACTAGCAACGTGTCATCATGCTGGTAGTGCTTGCGATGACATGAAGGTTAGTGTTCATGCCGCTGCTGACAGAGCAGTTGTGGCTGCGATGGTTCTGATGGCATGTGATGGCACTGAAGATGGCGACAGCGATGATGTTGATGATGATGTCGTTGTTGTTGATGATGATGATGCCGAGGAGGTTGTGGTTGTTGTTGTTGTTGTTGCTGGTGGAGGTGCTGGTGGTCATGATGGTGAGGATGAGGATGACGACGAGGATGAGGATGAGGATGGTGGTGGTGATAGTGATGATGATGCTGAGAATGATGGTGATGGTGATTGTGATAATCATGCCGACGATCAGTATTATGTTGACGTCGATGCTTATGTCGACGTCGATGTTGTTTATGTTGTTCACACTGTTTTTGTTGCTGCCGGCTGCCGCTGCCTATATAGCCGAGGACATGAAAAGGATCGCGCAGGTGAGCTCGAATCTCGAGCAGCTTGCCTCCCCAATCATGGTTGGACGAGGTTCTGTGTCGCTTCTACGATGCTCGATTCTGGATACTAGGCAACACAGACGCAAGGGCATCCCCCGGCTAGCCCAAGATAACATGAAAATCTCTGTGGGCATGTGACGTGGACCTATCTGCAGTAAACCGACTGTGGCGCATGTCCAGCATCGTAGTCACCTGTCTCCGGGGTCTCTGGCCTTTTCCAGTCGAGCCTGCGACCCAAACCACTCTTGCGATCCGATCTCACTTCCTGTGTCTGTCTCAGGGATTCTCAAAGCAAAGGGGCTGAGTGCAGCTTCTCGTTGAACATTACCAGTCGAGCACGCCCTGTCCTTGTTCATGGCTTTCCTTTCATAAAGTCTTTCAAATTTCAAGGCACGGGCTGCACGACTTGGCGACGATAAAGCCCATGATCCACAAGATCCACCGGAAGCACAGCGTCCAGGACTCTCTGCTCTTTAAGTAGGGAGTTTCAGGTTTTTCTCAGGGCCGAGTGAAGCGGGGTGCTCTTGTGAACAAGATTCCGTGATACTCATGAAGGGCGACCCGTACAAGCGTATCCTGTCAGGACGAGGATGATTACATCCGGACCGAGGTTGAGGCTCTCATCGGAGACGAAGACAGTAGTACCGTGTCTTGGTGCAAGGAGGCACAGCGGACGGGATGCCCGAGGTCTGACCTTCGGTGACGGGTCTGAAGCCATGCATGAAACCGAGGTGGCCATGTGAGAATTCCGGGCACAAGGCCTGCAGTGGAAGAGGGGGGGACTTGGGGCATAGTAATCGGGGCACAGTATTGAAAAGGAGGATGTGATGGCAGTTTTGAATTGGTGGCTGTTGCTTTACAAAGATATCCCAAGGATAGGGGCGAGCAACAAGACTACCTCTAGGTACATGGCAGTTGCTGCACAGAGCCATCTCGATGAGCTTCAGGCTTCGGATGCCACGCTGATGCGAGCTTGATGGTGCAACGTCGGAGGAGCACATTGTAAGATTATCTGCTGTGACTTGCAGGTATGCATGTTTGGATCTTCCAGTATCAAGAAGATATGCCAGGTTGCCCTGCAGTCTTGACCCGAATTGCTTCACGAGCCTTTGCAACGAGATTTCCTACAAGACGCCATTCCCCAAATGTTCTTGCAGCGCTGCGATCGACCGAAGTGTGTAGAGTTCGAGAGTCTAGCCTTGGCCCTGCCCAGAGGAGAACGATTGCCGACAAAGCGGCAAAGCCTTCGCCGATGTCTTTTTCAACACTTGCCGTGACATAGGCCACACGGCCTCAAGCTCAAATACTTGAGCTTTTTTCAAAAGCAAAGATGAGAACTTGGCGAAAGCGATGAAATGCCCGCAGATGCTGTAGCTCCGTGCCGAGGGGAAAATGTAAAGCTTGTCGGTGGTTCATAATACATCTTGGCTAGTTTTCTTTGTCGCCAAGATCCAAGCTGAATCCCGCAGCCTGCAAGTGCACTGCGGACTCGATCCCGACTGCATTTTCTAGCTCAGCGAGCTTCGATCCCAAAATTGGGATCGGGAGCTTCATCCCATAGGTCGCCATGGAGTTGATGCCCCTAACACAAGCTTTTCAACTCGACATGAACGCGCCCAGCAGTATCCCCACGCCCGGCAGTAAAGCCCACGCCTCAAAGGCTCATGCCCGAGTGTGAGCACCGAAAGGCTCATGTGAGGCCCGGAGTAGACATGAACTTTCGTCGTGCCCATAGCTCAGCCTCGCCACTAGGCTCTGGGACGCACGCATCAGATGGTCTCGGTCCAGGGCTGATGGAAAGTCTTGCGGAGGGACTAGGATACAGCCGTGTTGATGACAATGGTGACGATGGCACCTCTGAAGGTTCGAACGCTAGGTCCACGATGGAGCTGTCGGCTGTCGGTGTTGCTGCTGGTCCTGCTGATGGTGATAAGGACGATGCTCAAGCCACCTTAAGCCGGTGTGGATGCTAGTGGTGATGATGAAAATGAAGGTGTGTGAAGGTGACGATGGTACAACCGTCGTGAATCGTGAGGATGGTGATGATCGGGGTGATGGGGGCGTGGTGCTGGTGATGCTGATAGGCATGATGAGGCTAAGGGCTGGGAGCATCTGCATGGTTCTGTCAATGTTGGTAGTGATGATGTGGCGGTGTCGTTGGTGGAATGGTTAGCATGTGAGGTCCAGACTGATGGAACATAAACGGCAAAGAGAACCGGCAAACATGTTGACTGAGTATGAATTTATTGCGCGACCTGCGGCAGCCAAAGTTTCACAACAACTCTCAAGAGAGAGCAGGTTGATGCAGCAGACGTAGCTGTCCAACTCACTGCAGGTGCAAAACAAGATAACACCCCTTCCCGATGCCGGCAGCATTTTGGTTGTTTGAATTAAGTTCGCACTGTACAGCGATATGACTGCCGCTGTCCCTTACGCAGAACTCCTATGATTCATAGCTGTCATGGCGCCCAAATGAGTTGGACGACTTGCCTCGATTGCCGTTGTCTGAGTCTGAGTTTTCGATTCAAAGAGCGCGCATCCTGCCCGCTCAGTCAGGCGGGCGGCCACCGCCGGGAGCCTGGCGCAATGCGTCTCGCCGGGCCGCCTAGGCTGCTAGGTGTTTCGGGAGTTGGTCACACCCTCCACATTCTGTCCTGAATGCTCTTGCATGATTCAGAGGATCTTTAGTTTTGAGCGTGAGTAAAGTTTACCGGAATGGTAACCCTGCAGAAACCCTAGGATAGGCGCCGCCATCATCGGTCGCTTATTCGATGTGAGAGGAGGTATCAAAAGAGCAGATCGCAACAACGCTACCTTTGTCTGCTAGCGGCACCTTGCACAAAGGCGAGGGGATGTTCTTGGCCGCTCTTGTTGTCATCTTCGGGAGTATTCGAATCTACAGCCCATAGACAGCAGCTCTCGGGTTGCAGGAACCTGTCGACAAAGCTGAGCAGCTGAAGGTCGTGCCTTTTCCTCCACCGCAGCGCTCTGGCCGTGGAGGTCACAAAGCTGCGACTTTGCGAGGGGCCCATCGTTCTCAGCGAGCGTTTGATGTGAGTGAGCCCTGGCGCTTGATGGATTTAAGTAGCTCATAACTGCAAAAACTTGCTTTGTTGCTGGATGCCAAGGGGTGCATGTTTGTGCGCGCGGTGGTGGATTCGGATATGTGAGGCGTGCAAGATGTACTTTGATGTGTGAGGTGTAGACAATGCCTGCGACATCATGCAAGTGGTCGACGCGTGTGACCTCAATGACCCGCAGGCCAGAGCAAGACTTTTTCAGCCTCGTCAGAGGCTGCAGCTGTCTTACCCTAAATGGGTAGTCGTTTTCAGTATTCACACGATTACAGTGTCCGGAGACAGAGCAGCAGTCGCAGTGTAAGTGCAGGCACAATACATTCAAGATATCGTCATGAACTTCGCTGCTGGCAATGCGACTGCAGCAGCCCCAGCCATCTGCTGCAGAATTTATGGCTTCCCCCCCCTTCTCATCTCTGGCCTTGAACAGCACGGGGTGAAGGCAGCAACCAACACCTTCTCCCTGGCTTTGAGCGCCCAGGCCATCGTAAAGTCCGAACGCTTCAGCTCCCTGGACGATGCCCTCAAGTCCCGACTCTTCGTGAAGCTGGCTTCCATGGGTCTTCTGAAGACTTGAGAGCACCTCGGATAGCCTCTGTTGTTGTGGCTACTAGTGATATTTTGCAATGGTCGTTGCTGTTGTGATGATGACTCCTATCTTGCAGTGTCCACCGGTCCATCGGTCGGCGGCTGAGATGCAGGCCAGACTTGTATTCTTCTCCGGGATGGTTCCAAAGACTCCGTGACTTGAATTGCAGATTTCGTTTTGCGCTCGCCCACCCTCGCTCGAGAAACTCCACCCTTGTCCTGGACCATGCGGCTGCAAAAGGCGGTCCAACACCAACGTGACCGATCCAAGCAAACTTTTACTGTTCTGAACTAGTCTTTCCTTGGAACCTGCAATACACTGGGTTGGTCACGGTGTTAGTGCACGCCGATGCCTTGCATCGCCAGGGCAGCACGCCAAAGTGCGTGCACACTCTTCGTACATAGACTCCGCATACCGAGCCATGTGCAGATGCGGATGCGGAGGCACCCATGGCGGTTGGCAATGTAATCTTGTTGTGTCTTTCTAACTCACCTTAGTGGATTTCAGTCGACGGTCTATTGAAGATTCCGTGTCTGCACGGGTAGCTGCGTTGAAACACGGCCTCCTGTGAGCGTGCCATGCATTTGACATGCCATGCTTCAAGCTGTTTGAAAAGCGTGATGGCTGCTGGGTACCCGTCGATTGGGTGTGGGATAGTTGCGACCCTGTTCCAAGCTGCCCAACAAGATCAGCAATAAGGGCTCAGTATATGGCGGCTTCAACATTGGCAATTATAGGCCATTGTAGGTTCACTAGTAACTAGTAAGTTTTGAACTTCCGTGGCATGAACATGACAGGTGGTCGCTGCAGCTAAAGCTCTCGACAGTTTAAGCTTGAATGGATGTGTTCTCAGAAATTACAGTAGCTGTTTGCCTGCGACCGGCTGTGGCAGTCTTTCACAAGATGATGCCACTGTCTTGGTATGTCCTGGGAACCACGGCAGGGGACGGACCATGTGCATTTCCGGGCCTCGTCCGAGAATCCACCGTTGCTCTAGAGACCCGAAGCTTAAAGCTTCAAATTCCGGTCCTCCGAGTCTCCTACTGATCAAATCGCAAGCATGCGGCGGTAGTGGTGATGGTGGAAGCTGCAGGATTGAATTGTTGATACACTGCTTGCTTGCAGATTGTGTTCGAACGGCGGAACTATGCTCATGCTTACTGCCGCCCCTGAGACGTAGGCATACTTAACTTGTTGCAAGGCACTCATGATAAGTCCCAAGATCGACCGACCCAAACCCCCCTCAAGCTGAACGTAGCCGAAGGGCTGAGCCACGAGGAGGCTTGGGATTGCTATGAGAAATTGCGTTGACATCGGAAGGGTTGTGTTTATGAGGCAACTTCCGTACTATTGCCGAATGCCCCGCTGTCTGTTAGCCCTTGGCTCGATTACCGGGGCTGGCCCGAGATCCAATTGGAAGCCCGAGCCTTTTTGTGCTTTAGGGGGCGCGGCCAGATTGCAGGGCTGGTCACCACCCTTCAGGTTGACGAGATGCTTTGTTCCCAGCCCACATGTGCCTCTGCCGGGGGGAGGTGTGGCAACTGGCTGCTAGCTCACACTGTCTGTGGCAACTCTCTGCTTCGCACACGATCCCCTCCCGGCAACTCACCGGTCCTCGAGCCCCTGGCCGAAAACAAATTCTCATCTGAACCATGAGAATTGCAATGCATTTCATGCCCCATGGTGGTGATTGATTGCAACATTGATATTCTTTGTGGTTCACAGCTGCACCGATTCTCGTGATCGTCATTGACATTTGGTTGAGACTGCCATCTTGTCCAGTGTCGTTTTTATCGTGGACTGGACTGATGAGGTCCGCATGTTCACCCTGGCTCCGCCTCGAGGTTTTGGGCAAGGGCCCAAAATAAGCCATGGGTGACATTCAAGCCGCCAGAAATCGTAGCTGTCTAAGCGAGCACGCGGTGTAAGGTGCAGGTGCAGCTGCAGGAGGATTTGCAGGAGTAGGGGTAGATGTGGGTATGGGCCATGAGAATAATTAGTGTGGGAGGGGGAGTAGGAGTAGGAGCAGGTGGAGGTGGAGGTGTGGTCGTCGTGGGTCGTAGTCGTGGTGGCCGTCGTCGTAGGAATTAGTAGTCGTAACAGCAGTTGCCTCGGTGGTGGTAGTGGTAGTGTTGGTGGTGGCGGTAGTGCTGGTGGTGGCGGTGGTGGTGGTGGTGGCGGCAGCACTGGTGGTGGTCGTGGTGGTGATGGTAGTGGTGGTAGTGGTGGTGGTAGTGGTTGCGGAAGCCTTAGTAGCCGTAGTAGTATTCGGTCGTCATAACAGCAGCAGCAGCAGCAGCTGTGGTAGCAGCAGTAGCGGCAGCAGCCGTCACCAGCACGGGGAGCAGGCACCCGCCCGGTGGCAGGAGAAAAGTAGCGTCGGTATCGTGCTGACGGTACTGTAGCAACAAAAGTGGCAGTAATTTGTAATGGAATCGTCACCGTCGCCGTCGTAATGCTGTCGCCACGCTAACTGAAACGGCACACTCGGAACAGAGACGAGCAGTACTTGTTTGGGATGTCGGTTTTCCTTTAGTGAAGGGGCTTGCCGGGTGGATGCTCAGGCCGACGACCCACAGGGAAGTGGAGGTACACCGGCTGGCGCAGTACCTCTTGACTGACCCAGGGCCCATTATAACTTCCCAGCCTCACGACCTACACGGTCATAACCAAAGCTGCGCATCAATTGCATCAGTGTAAATGGCTCCTTTCCACGTATTTGGGATGGCTTCAAGAAATGGTTCCCAGTCGGCGCCTTGCCAGATCTTTCAGCAGCAAGTGCGTGGTGAGCGTAAGGCGGAGATTCAGGCTCTGAGGCCAGCCGTGCGCTTGAACCAGGGCTGCGGTCTGCGTTGGTGCTCTGATAAGCTTCTCCCTGCCTCCTGTGAACTCAGAGTTGCGTGGACCCCAAGCTGTTGAAGAAGACCTTGTCAACTGGGGAGAGGCAACAAGTTAAGAGCTCGCACCCTTGCCCACAGGGGCAGGATGCTTGCCCCCCCCTCTCGGCACCTGGCACTGTACCGGTGCAGTTCTCTCGATTCTGCAGAGTTGCCGATCCTGATCCACTACTGTCAGCGGGTCACAACGTAAGAAGTTGTTGGCCCCCAGCGGTCCCAGCTACATCCTTGCAGGGAACGAGCACAGACCCTGGAGCGGAGCGCAAGCGCCGGCAGTCTCCTGGCCAGGCCATGGGCTCTCAGCAGTGCAAGGCATTACCGGTATGGATGCATGCATGGATTGCACATCATCTCCTGTGAAGAACGGCTTGACGAAGATTTTTGCGAGAATTATACCATACGGGAGGCTCGGTGTCCACACTTCGGCAGAGAGAGTTACTATAGTCACTGCAACTTCCTGATTGCCTTACCCATATCAATTTCCACGGAGCAGACGCTGTGATGCACTTCGTGCCTCGCTCTCAAATCCTCACTTTCGCAAGACCTGGTCGCAACACCAGAACTACCAACTAATCACATTCATCATGGGTTTGTGCGAAAAAGCCTCAACGTCGAATTCTTCAGGCCGGAGCCCCTGGCTTTTGAAACCACGCTGGCTGACTTCGAGTTCCCGGAGCCACTGCTTCGATCCGTTGGGGAATTAGGGCTTTAGGGTTGCCTTCCAGGGTGTGTTAGTTGTTAGACGAGCAAAAAGGACGAAGACCAACATGCTAGCACTAGTCGGGACATAATCATCATCACCACGGGCACGCGTAGTGGCTGCAGTTCTTCTGCTGGAGTTGTCATGGTAGCAGCAAGAGTCCCATGAATACCAACAAGATTAATTTGCACAGCAGTTGTGATTATACTGCTTGTACTGAAATACGGAGTACTAGCAGCAGAGCCCGTAGTCGCGGAGAAACATACTACGCCGAATCGTAATCGCAGCTCATGTCGTTGTGACCAGCGAGCAGACAGCAAGCCGTAGGGAACTTGGCTGCGTTTTCTGAGCTCCTCGCCTGGGAAGAAACCATCTCAGCCAATGTGACAGAGACGCCATGTGGACACCGGATACCTGAGAGGGACTTGAAGAAGCCCAGTGCACTCCTCGCTCGGAAGGAGTCTCCAAGCGTCCTGGCTTCGCCAGCGCGCGGGCGCCGAGTGGAACAAACCGAGCAAACCGACCAGCTACTAACGATCGTTATTATCAACGTCATTGACCTAGTAACGGGGGTCTGCACAGAAGCAGATGACCGACGATGGATCCGACGAAGCCTATGTCAGTGATGGGCTGCTCAGGTTTCGTACGCTTCGAAGCGCTGGCCGGATGGTATCTGTCTGCCGCCCAGGAGACGCATAGCAAAGTGTGTACAGTGTACAGCTTGGCAACACGATACTGTAGCTCTGGAGTTGGGTCATCCGTTTGGCGTCGTGCCTGCCGGAATGATGCGTTGAGGATGGGACATCTGCCCGCAGGCGTTAGAGCGGGGAAGCTCAAGGTTGAACTCCTGAGCGCATGCACCGCGAAACTGCCCAGACTGTTCAGGTGCCTTCGCCGTCCGAATCTCGGTGCAGCTTCAGGACCATGGTTTCAGGTTTGGGCGGACTTTTCAAGCGAACAGGTCCCAGGTGTCGGGGTGGTAAGCTGCAGGTTTCGAGCCGATTCTTGCTGAACTGTCTGGTGTTTTGCTCTTCTACAAGTCCTACAAAAAGCCGGACAGGTCAAAGAAAAGCATTCTCAGGCGGGAGAGGAGGTCAAGTAGCAAAGGAAGTGTTGCAAGAGCCTGCGGAACTTTACTTGACTGGCAGTGCTCTCAGGAGAGCCTCACAACAGCGGAACACAACAGTTCCTGTTGAATGGTGTTTCATTCTAGTATTGCTGGACTGGGCAGCAATATGCCACGGCGACCCCGCCCCAAAGCAAAGCCAGTTCACTCCCTGCGTCTCGGGACATTCGCAGAAGCTTTTCAAGGCTCCATGTCGTCTCGGGTTCATTTTGTGTGTCCCTTTCTCGTTATTTGAGTTGGTGATGGCTTGAACAACTCTCCCTGA